GACCAACATGCAGTAGAACATTGTTGAAAGAGAAAAAAAATCAGGTTTTAAATTTAAAAATACAAAACTCAGGTAGTTATTTATTAATTAAATATATTAAAGTCACAATTATACAATTAATGATCACAGATGCGTACTTATAGGTCACATTGTCACACCTTATCAAATTAATTAGTCACAAATAAAAAAATTTGTAAGTCACAAATTATTTGTCGATTATAGATTTTCAAATTAGTTGATCACAATTTATTTTTCAGTCACAAATTATGGAATTTTTAAGCCACAATTAAATAGTTGGTCATGAATAACCAAATAGTTGGTCACATACTACTATCACCAACACTACCATTGCCACCAACACAACCTAATAGCGTTATCATTACCAATGCAGCCCCACCGTCAACAACATAGACATAGACCCAACCCCAACAACCATAATCGCCACCCAACAAAAAAAAAGAAAAAAACCCAAACACCACCACCACCACCACCACCACTATACACCCCTACCCCCATTTGCAAAACCACCAACAAAACCATTTAATGGGCTACCCTCTTCAAAAGCAAAGACAACACCACAAGCATTGCTGTCTTCGCCACCACAATATGAAATCCAACATCATCACCTCCTTTATCAAATCAAAACCACCAATTGTTGACCCCTGAAAATGAGCCAACAGATGCTAGGCTCACTCACTCCAAATCAAGCATGATTCCAACGCGTTCTTACCAGAATAATGACGGTAACAAAGAGGAGATGGATGCGGGAGGTACTTTACGGCAAGAGACAAAAATGTTCAAACTTCAGCAGATGACACAAAAGCAATCGTGCTAACAACGGTTGCCTGATTAAAATCAAACTAATTTGTGTAATAACAAACTAGAATATATGGAATGATAGATATGATGTGCCTTGAAATTGTTACGTTGTATATTGAGATTTACAACTCCTAAGCATACCAAGAAGATAGGAAAATAAGCATAAGCGTCGGTATATTTTTTCTCCAGAGTTCAAATGTGTATTTTGAATATATTTGATCGTCTCTGTTCTAATCAATAACCCAACCTCTTTTTAAGTTACAAAGAGAACTTATTTATACTACTTTGGCCGATGTGGTGACCGTTGGATCAGAACCACGTGGCCTCATATTCCTAATTGGGACATCATATCCCTATCTATTCATACAATTAATATATTAATAAGGGGTCAGTCGATCTATACAATATGCTGACTTACTGACGAATTTTATTATAAGTGTTACATCAATCACTTCTAAGAGATCTTTGAATCTGTTACAAGGAACAACATCAGCCTTGCGAGCTTCAGACGGGTTGAAAGCCTCGAAGAAATCTTCGAAATTGTTCTCTAAGTTGAGAGTTTCAGCTCATTTCTTTGTTTCCTCAAGCAGTTTCGTCTTTGAGGTAGTGCCTCAGCTTGGACTTCGTCCTTGCAGTGTAAGGGCTTCGGCCTACAGTGTAAGTTTTTCGGCCTTATTTGCCTTCTTCGTGTTTTTGCCTCATGGGTTTTTATTTGACTTTCTTGTTGACTTTCTGCCTAAGTGACTTGTTACGTGGCATTGTCTCTTTGAGCCTTGGAGGCGAGGAGTAACACCAATAATACCATATCACAACATCACATCGCCATACCTCCAACCACAATCGCTAGATCTAAAGTCGGACCAGACGTTTCAGAGTTTCAGCGCTTATAGCACCGCCTATCGATGACGGTGTTCCTATGAGCGTCGTCGCCTTTCAAGATGAAGTGAGCGCCGATTTATGAAGGGCATGTTTGTATGAGTTCGCTGTAAACTGTAGAGGCAAACTAAAAATAAGGGTTTGAGGTTGT